ACTCTACCCACCCAGCATCTCCCAAAGGGATGGGAACTGTAGTCCAAACCCTTAGCCCTTTCGGGGAAAAGGGCAGAACTGCCACTTTCGAAAAGCGTTGTCCTCTGGGTGAGTCCTAGAAGGCGAAGCGCTCTCTCTCAAGCGCTGCTTAGGAAACTCCGCGCCATCCTTCAAAGTTCTCCCGAACGCCCCCAAGCGCCTCCCCGCCTTTTCCTTTGCAGCCGGGCCCCTGCTAAAAACTCCGCGTACGCTCAGACACCTCTTGCCCCCTGCTGACCAGCCGGGCTCCGGCGCTTCAGCGCCCCGCGAGCCCCCCCCTCGGGCATCGCTTCCAAGCGTTGGCCAAAGCGCCTCTCCAAGCGGAGCCGCGCCTCTCCAAGCGCCCGCCGAGAGCGCAGCGCCCGGGGCGCTGGGAAGCCAGCCCCGCCGCTTCTCCGCCGCTTCCCCCGCCACTCACCGTCGGAGCTGACCGAGTCGTAGGGGTCGCGCTGGCGGGGCGCCCCGTCCTCCCCGGGCTGGCTGTAGTCCACCCAGCTCAGCCCCTCCAAGGCGTCGTAGCCGGCCCGCGCCTTGTCCTCCACCGGCACCACCGTGAAGTGCGGCATGGCCGCGGCGGGCCGTCGGGAGAGAAGCCCCCGCCTGGCTGGAGCGCCTGGCTGGAGTCCCGCCGCCGCCGCCGCGCCCGGGGCTTGGCCGGAGCAGCAGCCGCGCGACGAGGCGAGCCGGAGACGCGGCGCGGCAGCCTCGGCCGAGCCAGGCTGGCATTCCAGCCGCCTTGGGTCACTTCCTCCCAGGAAGCGCGGCTCGGCGACGCCCCCGCTCCCGCTCCCCGGGACTGCAGGGCAGGCAGAGCGCGCGGGAGGGGAGGGCAGGGCAGGGCAGGGGAGGGTCGGGCCGGCGCTGGGCAGGGGGCTCCGGTTGGCCTTGGCCGGTGCGCTCCGACGCGCAGCCCCCCCAGCTCCGGGAGAAAGTTTGCCGCCCTTCAAAGTCGCCCCCCCCGGGGTGCTCTCTGGGCTTGATGGTTTCCTTGCACCCGTTTCCTTAACCAAAGTTGGGAAAGTTGCCCCGGCCTGTCTCCCTGCCTCTTCTCGACTTTGCGCGCTGGATTCACACGTTCCCCTTTGCCTGACTTGCTCGCTTTTGGAACGCGACCCTGAACCTCGCCGGGGTGAAAGTTGCAACACGCCCCTGCCTCAAAGGCAACCCTGGCTCGTGTGAGGGGTTGTGTGAGTGCAGTTGATTGGGGTTTATTTCTGGCTTATTCCAGGGTGTGAGGGGTTGTGTCAATGCAACTGATTGCGGTTTACTCAGCACATGGTGGCATATTGCAGAGTGCCTCTGTGTTTGAGGTGTGTATGAATGCAAGTCATTGGGGTTTTATTCAGCACACCATGGCTTCAGATCGGGAACTCAGCCACGCCGCTGTAGTAACAACATCCTCTTTATTTAGACATTTCCATGTTTTCACACCAACTGCTTAGGTAAATATTTATCTGAGAGATCTGTTGGCTAGCTTTATGCTGGTGTCGCACACCGTACCTGTGATTTGTTAAACCAAATATAGATGGGTTCACACATTGCATGGAGGTTAGTGGTTTTGGCTCAGCAGGCGATGTGAGCAGAATCGTGGTAAATCATGGTTTATGCATTTACAAAAGCAGCCCAGTGTGATTTACTTAAAAAAAACACCCAGGATATAGTGTAATGTGTGAACCAAGATATAGTCTCTGGGCTGAGTTGGAGAGGGGAGAGGAATGCAAAAGGGTTTCTGCTCATCCATGTTCATTCTAAATATCCCTTTGAGCTATACAGCTAATGACAAATGCTGTGAATTGCAGTTTGGTGGACTGTGGGGTCCTTGGTGCTCTCTGAGCCTGGTTGTTTTGTTGCAGATGTTTCATGAACCAACTAAGTAACATTATCAAACCCAACATGTTGAGTGGCACCACTTTGGCTGGATTGTTGCACTGATGATGTTACCTAGTTGGGTAATGAGACGTCTGGAAGAAAACAAACTCAAGAGAGTACCAAGGACCCCTCATTTGCTTTATGTGCATAACAGTAAGCCATGATTATGGAAGGATGATTCAGGAAACAGGTCATAGTTGCTTGCTTTGCATATAATATTAATGCAGATTAAATGTTTTATTTGGCCTGCAAGAGAAATCATCGCTTATCATTTTGCCTTGCCTGGAAGAGATGTGAGAATAAATGAGGATGATTCAACCTACTGAGTTAACATTTATCTCAACAATTCAGGTAAGACACAAGCAAAGGTGTGTTTGACAACAGGCCAGACCTGAGTAATTTTTAACCTTGTGTTGTTTCACTGTGGTTCTTTTTGTTGTGCAAACCCAGATGATGAGATTGCGTTGTGGAAATGCAGCAACATTTGGGATATTTTGGTAAACAGAGCTTAAAGTTACTAAGTTTAATGTGTTCTGCAAATGCAGTCCCAGACCAGCAAATAAAGAAGACTTGGGGGCGTAGAAAATGGACGGAAAATTCAAAGGGAGAATTTCAGGAAAGAGTTACCAGCATGGAATAGGAGAGGCTGTTCAGAAACATTCAAGCTTCTAGAAATTAAACAGAAAACCAAGACAATGCCTAGGCCATAAAGAATTCTCAAGCCTTTCACTTATCCTTCCTCAAATAAAACATAAAACAAAGAGCAGATAACTTTTTCTTACTCTGTGTTCCTCCATCCTGCTGTTTTCTTTACATACAAAAGCGAAAATAAAAATATTATGGCTTTTCTGGGCACAGGACTACTGAACAGCGTGCAGATTTCCAGAAAGGTCCACATCTGATTCTAGCTTTTTTTGGAGGGGGGGTAAGGACTCTCATCTTCCACTTCAAGAGTTCACGAGATTTCTCTGAAACAGATAAACTTTCCATGAAACTTGGTTGAAAGTGATGAAATCCTTAAGAACAATTCCTCTGGTTTTCCCCAGACCATTGATGTAACTGACAAGTAGCATAACTGTAGCTCCATTCCTACACAAGTGGTCCTCAACCTATGAGAACATTTGAGCCCAACATTTCTGTTCCTAAGCCAGACAGTTTTTAAATGTGTTTGGCCCTGTTTTACAAGCTTTTTTTTGCCACAGTTATTAAGGGAACCACCGTAGTAGTTAAGTTAGTAACATGGTTGTGAAATGAATCCACCTTTCCCATTGACTTTGCTTGGTCTGAAGGTTGACCCCGGGACAGTGCAACCGTCATAAGTACGAACCAGTTGCCGAACATTTCGAATTCCGATCACATGATCAGGGAGCTGCTGAAAACCTGTCAGGTGTCACTTTTTTCAGCGCTGTTACAACTTAGAACGTCACTAAATGAATGATTGTAAGTTGAGGACAACCTATAGTTTTTTTAAAAAATGTATATATTTGAATTGGGAAGGGATATGCTCTTTAAAAGGGGAACGAATGTGGGGGAACCTGACCCTATCCCATTTGCAGAAGTTTCTCACGCTTTTTGAGAACATCCCCTTAAAAAAAAAAAAAGCACAGTCGAAAGCTGAGCATTTGGATTACATTTGATCTGAATCTAATTTTACCTTTCCTCCTTCGCAAACGAATTGGCAAGGGCTTCCTGTACATAATGGCTTCCTCTTTCCAGATGCGTGACTAAAGATTGATTTCCGGCTCTTAGTTAAGGCTAATTTTGATTTATGGGGTAAATTAGATCAAACCTGGAGGTTGATACAATTATTTTCAACCTGCTTTTGACGGGAACCCCCTCTTGATTTATGTTTGGGGCTGGCTTCTGCCTCCTGGTCTCTCATTCCTCCGTGATCTATTTTTCTGTTCTAGTCTTTGTCACCCATGTGGGTAACTATTAGCCACTTTATGACCTCTGGACTTCAATGCCCAGAATTCCTGAGCCAGTCCTGAATTCTGGGAGTTGAAATCCAGAGGTCATAAAGTGGCTACAGCTGCCCACTCCTGCCTTATCACAATTACAGGTAGTCCCTGACTTACAACCACAATTTCTGTGGCTAAGTGAGACAATTGTTATGTGAATTTTGTCCCATTTTACGACCTTTCTTTCTTTCCAGCTGACAAGCCCAGCATCTTTAACCTCTGAGCCATTGCACACACACACACACACACACCAGACAAGCCATAATAATGCACTAAATCCTGCATCAAATGCAGCCATCATATAGAACTCAACTTGAAAGAGGTTTTTCTTAGTACTTTGAGAGAAACAAGTTTGGGACAGGTTGAAATGGGGAGGTTTGGGGTGTCTTGGCTCCTATTCCCTTTTTTCTGGGATGGAGGCAGTGCTTCTAATAAATGTCATTAACAGGAACAGGATGGATGGCTTAGCCAAGCTGAGCGAACAATGCAAGATATATTTTTTTTTGTTCAGCTGGGCTGTTTTAAAAGCAGCAGCCTGGTTTTTATTAAGAAACAAAAAAGGAAGCTGAATATAACTTTCCTTCCTCATCCTGTAAATCGCCAAGGCAGACTGTGCAGGGACTCTGAATGTGAGTAATGCCTTAAGAGCTTGGCAGAGTTTGTCTGACCATTGTTAATCCAATTACTCCAAATTTTCTGGGTTCACACAATTAAACAGGCTGAAATGGCATTGACTCTTCCCTTCAGGAAGGTACTTTTTGCCGCTCACCATAAAATGATGCAACACGTTTCCCATTGGCTTATCTTTCATTGGATTTGACAACCACAGAGTCTTATTTTTGTGTACATGCTGAATTTTTTCATGTTTGGTTGAAGCACTTGTTCCAGACAGGTTTCACGGCAGTTTTTCTCCCTCTTCCCTTTTGTTGTTATTGATTCGTATACATTTTATATTTATTTCTCCATTGTGTTGTGGTTTTCTTTGTAGCTCTTTGTAGCCATTTGATCTAGTTTTGCATTTTTCTCTTTTGTTTTTCAAACTTGTAAAAGTATGTAAGTTGAAAAAAAAAAGAAAGAAAAGACTTTTGGAATATGTTCATTGGCCCATGGGCTTCAGTGCTGCTTCTGAACCCCCAAATCTTGGTCCCTACAAGCAGGATTAAATTTAGGAAAGAAGGCTACAAGGTATCTTGCCCTAGGGCAGGGGTCTTCAAACTTGGCCCTTTTATGACTTGTGGACTTCAACTCCCAGAATTCCTCAGCCAGCGTTGCTGGCTGAGGAATTCTGGGACTTGAAGTCCACAAGTCATAAAAGGGCCAAGTTTGAAGACCCCTGGTTTAGGGCTTTAATGTTGAAACCACACTCTGATTTGAATCTGGAGACAGAGGCAGCCAACACAGAGAATGGAGAGCTGACAAAACCCCACAAGCTTTGATTGAACAACACGTAGGGAGTTCCTTCTTTCTAAACAGGAGAGAGAAAAACAAGAACTTGACCACACACACATTGCTGGCTTCTTCCCAGAGATTCAGCTGAAGGTCTCCTTAACAATAGGTCATCGCTCAATGCAGAAATAAACTTTGCAATGTAGCAACTCTGGGTTATCGCCCAAAAGAGGAACTTTCTCAAAAAGGATTGAGCAAGACATTCTCCTCCCAGCTTCAACGTGAGCTCTGGCAGAAACTGGGGTGGCGGTGGGGGGTAAGGGTACTTGCGCCATGAATCTTCTGCCCCTCCACTTTTATTATGCTGGGAAGGAGCTGGGATAAATATAAAAAAAAAAACTATTGCAGTATCACAATCAGGGGACTGAAGGCTAAAACACATGAAGAACGGTTGCAGGAATTGGGCATGTCTAGTCTACTGAAAAGAAGGACTAAGGGTGACGTGGTAGCAGTCTTCCAATATTTGAGGGGCTGCCACAAAAAAGGGGGTCAGCCTATTCTCAAAAGCACCAAAGCATCAGAAGGCAAGACAAGAAACAATGGATCAAAGCTAATCAAGGAGAGAACCAAGCTAGAAATTAGGAGAAATTTCCTGACACTGGAAGTTGTGGGGGCTTCATCACTGGAGATTTTTAAGAAGAGATTGCACAGCCATCTGTCCAGAATGATACAGAATAGAATACAATAGAATAGAATAGGATAGGATAAGATAGGAAATAGAATAGAATAGAATAGAATAGAATAGAATAGAATAGAATAGAATAGAATAGAGATATAGTATAGGATAGAATATAGATATAGAGATAGATAATAGAATGGAATAGAATAGAATAGAATAGAATAGAATAGAATAGAATAGAATAGAATAGAATAGAGATATAGTATATGATAGAATATAGAGATAGAGATAGATAATAGAATGGAATAGAATAGAATAGAATAGAATAGAATAGAATAGAATAGAATAGAATAGAATAGAGATATAGTATAGGATAGAATATAGATATAGAGATAGATAATAGAATGGAATGGAATAGAATAGAATAGAATAGAATAGAGAAAGATAGAGATGATAGAGATAGACATAGATTAAGATAGATATAGATATAGAGGAATAGAATAGAATAGAATAGAATAGAATAGAATAGAATAGAATAGAATAGAATAGAATAGAACAATTCTTTAGTAAAATCCACGAGAGGGCGCTACCATCCAGTATATGACTTTCAGACTAATTAAATCAATGAATCATTATGGGGGTTTTTTTTCAGCCCTGCTGGACAGCATTAGCAAAAGGAGTGTCCTATATGTGACTTTTTGCAAACGTTTCTACTACTTACATTATATTAAACTAAGACCCGACTAGGGGCATTTTCACACCTGCAATGTTCCCATTTCCAAACATTTAACAAGAAAAGTGAAGCTGGCCCCTGATCCTCCTATTTGTTCCCAGTGAACATTGTAACGTCTCTAGATAAGTGAATTGTTGAGCATTGATTAATACTCATGGGGAGACCCCTACGCCAACACATGGAGTAACCAAAGAATAAGAAATTCACAGTACTAACCCATTCATATTTACTTGGAGAAGGAAGTTCCACAGGATTTAACAGGAGTTAAATATCACCGGAGTGTGCTGGGAGTTATTGAATGTGACTGAATTCCATTCCGAACTGAGCGTGTCGGTGCCATATGTGATGTTTATGGAAATGATGGCTCTGTTTGGGCAGCTTTTCCTTTGGCATTCCAAAAATCTTCTTGTTCTGTGAAGATTCTCAATCCTCCAGATCACGGTTGTCCCAAAAGGCAATTGGGCTTTCTTAGTTTTTTCCTTTGAAAAGATTCCACTTCTCATCTGTGAATGGAAGAAGCTTCTGGGACGAGAAGTGAACCGTTTTCAAGGGAAAAACCCAAGAAAGTCCAGTTGCCTCTTGGGAAAGCAGCTTTGTTCAAATGAAGCAGGATCCATTGGCCGTTCCAGACTTTGTGACAATGAGTAGTGTTGTTTCTATCTTAACTTTGGAAGAATCCGTCCTTGGCGCCGTTGTCAGAATCAAGTTCAGGGCAACATCATGTACATTCCTATGGTGAATACAAGGCTTTCCAGTAGCCCCATGCAGAGCAGTCTGCAGGAGTTGTTCCTTGACGAAGTTGGAGGCTTCAGCTCCAGGCGACAGGTTTGATCCACCTGCTCAAGTGGGATTTCCACTTCACTTGCCTTCTCTTGCCAGCTCTTCTTCACCTAGTTCAGAAGTTCAGAGTTAGGGCCAAACTCACAAATCCCTTTGTATGAAATGCAAACATCTGAAATCGTATTTATTAAATTGGTATACCACCCATCTCGCTGTTTGGGGTCACTCTAGATCTAGGCTCAGGTCAATCTCCTGGCCATCCTTGAACCAACAGAAGTAGCTGTGAGGATCTCCATCGTGGGCCTGGCGCCTTGCTGGCCTCATACCATCAAAGGGGAAGGGAGGGGCAGGCAACTGAGGCAACCCACACCTGTGTATCTAAAGGTGGGGAATGAGGAGGGGGAGCTGACGTGAAGAATCCTACCAAACACCTCCCTTCGACCAGTCCGCTCCCACAGAGAGGGCCTCCTTAGGATGCCGTCGGCCAGACAATGCCGGCTGGTGACCCCCAGGGGGAGAGCCTTCTCTGTGGCAGCTCCTGCCCTCTGGAATGACCTACCCCCCCGACCTACGTACAGTTGCGGACCTGCACCTTTTTCGCCGAGCCCTGAAGGCCCATCTATTCCGTGCGGCCGGCCTGGCGTAGTTTGATTATGTTTCAGTGGGGGGGGGGTTTACGGGTGTGTTTTTAGAACAGGCCTGTTATTTAATTCGATTTTAGAACAGAAATTTGTGTATATTTATCGTGGTTTTTAGTATTGCCTGTTCACCGCCCTGAGTCCCGTAAGGGAGATAGGGCAGTATATAAATTCAATAAATAAATAAATAAAAAATAATAAAAAAGAAGACCAGAGCTGTCTGTACTGCTTACGCCGGGTATCTTCAAGGCCGCTTGAAATTCCAGCAGCCTAAACAACCCAGAGTTTCCCACATCGGGGTGATCCTGGATTGGGTGGCAATGGACCGGACATTGGGGGGAAGGATGGAGAAACGGTGGGTTTGGCTCTTTGTATCGGTGAGCGGGAACTCCCGTTTCTGCCTCACCTTCTTACAAGCAACAACTTTAGTAAAAAGTTTTTTTTCACTTCAATCAATTGGAGTTGAGAGTCTGCTTTCCTAAATGATCGTTTTGGGGGCAAGTCTGACAGCAGCATTTTATGACGTTGATCGACAATTTAAAATTGTCACCCTGGACTCCAAGACCTGTAGGGGTGTCTGCCATCGGTCATTAATATTACTAAAGAGGAAAGCCAAAAATCAATTGTCACAGAACGGGAAACCCTTACATTTTCGACTTCTTTGAAGACACGAAGTAAGTTCTCCCTCAGAATCCCACGAAGTTCTTCCTTGGTCCAGCCTCTCCTCAGCAGTTCTTCAATTACGTCTGGATATTTTGAAACATCTTCCAGTCCCTCGGGAAATCTGTCAGTCAAGACAGGAGTGGCACAAACTAAATGTCTATTTCTTAGCAAAACCACAGCCAGATTAGGAACTAAGAAAATTCATTGTCAGCTTTTGCTACCAGTCAAATGGCTGCTCACGAGAGACTCTCAAGCTTTTTATAAATGTATTTAAAAAAAAAAAAAGAACTGGGAAATTCCAAGAATTTCACCCAATTGTACTACTTGATATGTTTCTATATAGAATGGTTTATTAGACCTAAATGATTGTCAACGCTGCAAATACTGTATATTCTTGCTTTGACAATATGCAGAACTGTCTGGTATTTATATAGTTAAACTAGCAACTGGGAAAGAGGGAGGAGCATAAGGATAGCCCTGGAGAAAGAAACTGGAAGTAAATCACATCTTCCAAGTTGATTGGAAGATGTGAACCATGACCCTACAATAAGGGAGTGGGAAATGCTTGGAATGTATATGCGTAACGGAAGAGAAGCAGATCTAAGCATTTCCACCATGCTGTACTGACGTCTCTGTAACCTTAATAAATGCTTTTAGGAAAAATATGCCTGAAAGTCCTTTTAAGTGTTTCGTTAATCAGACACATGACAATGATTTTTAGAAAGATTAGACCAAATATGAAGGGTCCCTTATTTTGAGTTCAAAACACTTCTCAAATGATTGAAACAGCCTGTTTTGAATATGAAATACATTTCAAGCCCTAATAGTTTGAAATGGAAAAGTTTTGCACATCACCAAATAATAACGTATCCACATACTAACCGGAATTCTCCATCATAGTCACCGCCAATTCCTATTGAAAATGAACCTGCAATTTTCTTTATGTGATCAAAGTGATCTGGAATTTTTTTTCCATCAAAAAAAAAGAAGATGAGTTAGCATCAATACACAGCCAGGAGAAAGGAAAAATGCTTATAAGAGAAGACCAGGCAGAGCTGGAGGGCAGAGTAAAACACGTCATCAGTTTAGACTCCATGGTGGCGCAGTGGTCAGAATGCAGTATTGCAGGCTAACTCACTACTCACTGCCAGCAGTTCGATCCTAACCAGCTCAAGGCTGACTCAGCCTTCCCTCCTTCCGAGATTGGTAAAATGAGGACCCAGATTGTTGTGGGCAAGATGCTGACTCTGTAAACCACTTAGAGAGGGCTGTAAAAGCACTATGAAGAGATATATAAGTCTAAGTGCTATTGCTATCTCCATTTTCCCCAAAGTTTTCTTCCCCTACTGTAGGGATGACCTTGAAGAAGGAATTCAACAGCTATTAGGTTAACCACTAGTTTAGCTCCAGAAGAGAGAAGGGAATGAGAAAGAAGCTTAAAATTGCCTCACCTTCATTCTTTTTGGTATAAGGGAGAGATAGAACCTCTGTCAGGTTTTCAAAGTTCTGTTATAAAACCCTTCAAAAACCAAACTGAGTTCCAATAATCCTGGTGGAGCCTGTTTCCTGAACTGGCCTATCTTGAAGGGCTGACAGCTAGAAAAGGTGGCCTTCTCTCCATGAGGTACTTTCAAAAGAGGACCACCTCGTTTGGTTGTAATGTTACTTTTTTGCTAAATGAACGGTTGTAAGTCAAGGACTACCTGTATATAGGAACAGCACAATGTTTGCAAACCTGCAACAGTTGAGATGTTAACTGTCTTCTTTCCACAGGCCAAAAACTTCACAGGGAACGTCACCATTATAATTCCATGGTTCTCTTTCTAAAACAAGGGAAAAAAATTAAATCAGTCAAACATCCAGTTCTGAGGGCTGTGTCTCTCTTGATACCTATCAAGGCCCCTGCCCCACCTCATTGGAGAAGTAAGCATGTTGCAAAACAAACCACTTCTCTTTATCATACGGGTCTCCAAACGTGGCAACTTGTGGACTTCAATTACAGCCAGCCATGGGAGTTGAAGTCCACAAGTCTTAAAGTTGCCAACTTTGGAGATCCCTGCTCTACCATCAGCCATCTTAGTAGGAATGCCTTTTAGTCTTGCATCAACCTTGGGCATTATCTGAAATTAGAAAGACCAAGTGGTTGTAACCCTATGTTTGGGTTGAAAACCAAGTGGTTGTAATCTAATGTACCCCATTGGGTTGTAACCCCAATTTTTTGTAGCCCACTGGGTTGTAACCAATGTAACCCACCTAATGCAAATTAGGTGACCAGGAATAATGGGAGTCCAGGACATTAAAGGGTCTCTGGTTGAGGGAGACCTTCTTTTAGTGCCCGATGATCTGGAAAACAAGACTCACAAGCTTTAGGAGAATGTCGTCTGGAACATTCCTGGAGTGGTGGCAGACCGAATAGGCAGAAGAATGGCTGAAAATGACAGGTGCTCTTGAAACCCTAAGAACAGTTTTTGCTGTCTCATGAGAGGTGTGAGATAGGTCTACCATCATCCCCAGGCGATTCATCTCCTTCACCACTTCCTGGAGAAAATACAGTAGATATTGTGGTACACAGACACAGAGACACTCTCGCACACAAAGCCTCCCCAAAATCACAGTAAAATGTTCATTTCTTGAGTGCTGTTCAAAGTTTTCTCCCAACTAACACATCTCCAACTAACACATCTCCAACTCAAGTCTTCCATTTTCTTGTTGGGAAGAAATTCTAAAGCTACTCAGCATGTTCAATCAAGATGGTCAAGATTGGCATCTTCTGCCAATCTGCAGATCTTCTTCTACAAGAAAAAATGCCGATGGAATCAAATATTTCTGGAGACTAGAAGGTTGTGGGAGACTTAGTTAGGATAAAGTTCGCTAAGGAATTTGGAAGAAATTGGAGAATTGGAGTTCTTGAGGCACAAATAACCAGGGTCACACTTTGTGAAGGAGACAAGGTTTATTTCAGACATATTATGCAAAAACTTAGTTCTCTGGAGAAAGCTTTGATGCTGGCATAGATGGAAGGAAAGAGAAAGAAAAGGACACCTGGCAGTAATGTGGTGAAAGATGCACTGTTGGAAGTCTTGAAGACCAAATTATGGATAGATCTTCATGGAGAAGATCTATTTATGTACTCTCTAAGACTCAACAACTTGATGGCATATACCACCACAATCACCATCATCACCACAATCTTCATCGTAATTAAATATTGATTATGGTGGATTCTCATCAAGATACAAGAAAAGACCCTTGTAGATTAATTCCCAGATCTCCCTTACATAAGAGAACCTCAGATCTCAATATCAATTCAAGTCACTTTCTAAGTTTCACTTAGAACTTTCTCTTACGATGCCAAAAGGAGTCAAGCCGTTAACATCAGGATAGAAATTATTTCTGCCTTTTGTTGAAGTTTCTGCCCTGAAAATAAAGAAAAAAGAAGGACTTTTTATTCAATGAAAGGTGAAAGGTTGAAAGGTATTCAAATTAAAGGTATTCAAACCATCCAGTCAGAGCTGAAGAAGCTTCTTGGATGAGAAGCAAAACATCTTCAGAGAAAAAACAGAAAGTCCGGTTGCCTCTTGAAAAACCCCTTTGAGATAAGGGAACTAAATCCAGCCCACCTTGAATTCCGTTGACTGTTATTTACCATCAATTTGCTTGGAGCATTAGTAGTTCTATTGCTACCAGCCTCCCTTCCACTGAGGACTTGTATATTGCATGAGCAAAAAAGAGGGCTGTGAAAATATCTACAGACCCCTCACATCCTGGACTTAACTCTATTCCATTCCATTCCGATTCTTGTAGAGAGCTTTAGCATACAATAAACTCATATAATCATTTGAGCTGCCTGGACCTTCTGATTTTCCAGTCTTGACCAAAGACTGGCCATATGTCCCATTTTTCAGTGACATTCTAACTTCAACTGGTCACCCAAAAAAAATGGTTGCAAGTCAAGAATTACCTGCCGTTCATCTTCTTAAACTACACATAGACGCCCGTATTATCTAGAGCAGGGCTTTTCAACCTTTTCACCCATTGTACCACTTTTAGGATATGGCAATATCCGAGTACCACCAGTCACTTAGCAAGGTGTCAAAAACTTGATGACCAAAAAAAAAAAAAAGGGAAAAA